CTCTTCATAGTTTTCTTACGCCATGAAAAAGTGATATGGGAAGGGCTAGCGTAAACGCTAACGATTGCGTTTGTAGGAACTAACAGTCGTTAAGCTGTGGTACGCAAAACGACTTTTGCTCGGATATTGGTGCGAGTTGAGGTAGGTTTATAATTACTTGGTGCTTTGGTTTACTTTAGCTAGAATTCAGAATATGAACAACTCGACTGTAGCTCTGCACTGCAAAACTCTGGTGTTAAAAGCAACACTTTTTGGTGTTAGATGACCACACCATAGGGTGTTACTTTAACACCGCTGGTGTTACTTTGCACACCAATAAGTGTTACAGTGCACTGGAGGGTGTTAAAAGTAACACTAAATAGCACCAAAACTTTTAACATATGTCAAAAGTGTTGGTTTAGTCTTCTGATAACACCTGGGTGTTAAATTTAACACCCCAGTTTTTGCAGTGTGCGGAGGAGGGTACGTGTTTTCAAGTTCCGTCATTTACCTGTATATTCATTCCCCCTAGTGTCCATAATAGGTCTGTGTTACGAACGAAACAATGGTCATTAACTTTGATCTGTTGTTCGCCAAATATACTGACTGAGCAGTAAAACTGAAGTGCACAACTGGCCGCCCTCTTTTTAAACAAAACGGCATAGGCTGAGCTCTGTCACAACTCTCTGGGCGTATTCGAACACCGTTCTCCTGAGACTCACAATGAGTGTTTTCGTTTTGTTGATTAAACAAAATTAACGCCGACGTGCAAGTGGAGTGAAGCTACGCTAAAATTCAAGATACTAGTCGCCGTTTTAACACTCATTGAAAAGATAAGATGATATTCCTAATCTTATCATAAATCAAATCTCAAAATATCCCTATAAAACGGTTAAGGTCGCCCCTAAAGCTATGCATGCATACAAGCTCTCGGCTATATTTTCCTTATTGTGAGTACTTTCAATTTTATGTTACGAAATTAACGTTAAGTTGCAGTATGTACCCATGTCTGCCATCTTTGTTCTTGACGACGCATCCACTCCCCAGTAAGTGGGGAGTGAGAATCCTGTCCGCGAACAGTGTGTTCACATGTTGATTCTTGTCACTGGGAACCCCGTAGTCAGTCTCGTTGTCGTCCAACACGAGAACGGGATTCTGAATACGCCCTCTCTGTATCCATCCGGCTCTGACCATTCTTTTGGGACAGCGCCCCCGTTGTCGTATTGTATATTATAACCCATCCGTAGCTTTGATCATTCAGGTACGTGCAGTCATCCAGCCTATCACCCCGTTGTGCTATGATTTATCGGCTTTTTCAGAATGTATAATATGAGTAGGCTTGTGTTTCATTTTACGTCGCCTGCATTCCATGTCATTGTCGCAGCATGTACTCCTTGTGGTTTTTATCCAAGGCCGTGCCCAGACCAAAATTGGGGGGAGGGGTGGCAAAACAAGTACGCAGCGTCCCCGGTGCACTTTTGCATTAATTTACTACACCACAATTGAGCAGCCGCTCAGAAACAATTTTCTGAAAGTGGCTCTGTCCATGCAAAACAACCTCCATTAAATTAAGACTCTATTTTCAATCTGATTGATTGCAAAATCTTCATTTTGGGGAGGGGGGAAGGCATGGCTCCCATTGCCACCCCCTCCCCCTTGGTCCACCCTTCTGTTGATCAGGGGTTGAGGGTGAAATAAAAACAAGACTAACCAAAAACAAATACAAACCAAGAAAATGAAACGCAACCTCCCCGAAACCCAGCTGCAACCAATTACAATTGGGAACACCTTTTCTGATGCAACATATATATATCTCAGACCCCGCCTTGACAATCAAATTAAAAAAGACCAAGACGGCGCACGCAAACTAAATGTTTACAGTATAAAAACATGTTTTGCTATTGATTGTGTGACAAATTGATGGAGGGCACCCCGATATTTCAAACGCCCAGTACAGTCAACTAAAACCCAAAAGTGTTAGTTATTTTGAATAGGATTCTTTTGAAAATATGAAAATATGAGCCATGTGGGATAATCGCTGCGTGAATTAAATCTAGGCTACTTGTAGTCACAGAATTCTGTATGCGTCTTTCAAACCAAATTGGAAAACAGGGCCCGTCCGTAATGAAAAATGTTTTGCTTACTGTCAGTGCTAGATGTGAAAAGAAGTATTAAAATCAAAGCAAAAAAATTTCAACAACTCCGCGAAATTTGACTAGGTCATCAGTGGTCATTTTTAAAATCATTTGATATTGATGGCATTGTAATATGTAATTTCAAAGTACTGACGACTTTAGCCACATGCATTTCGTAGATGTCATGAGTGTTATTACTGCTCACGAAGGGGGGGGGCATTACGATATTAGATATTTTTCTTGGTGGATAAAACATATTTTTACCAGGCGTTTAAGTTTGTGCTAGACGAGTAACCAGTGGCCACGCCTGCATGACTTTAAATTGGCAGAATTTGCAAGAGTTTTAACAATGTCATGCTGAGGGTCCGCACATTCAAATTCGATACAAAAATTATTTTGTCCAAAGATCCCCGTACAAGTGCAATGACCTCAAACGAATCTGTCGATGACTAAACGAGTCTTCTGTTTAAGTCATAATGCCCTCTGTTGATGCTGTCGCATTCAAAAGAAAGAGGGCGCAAAGGACACGCATTCGTTCCGGCAATCATACCAGGGCAGATATACCTTGCAGACAGTAATGACGTCCCTAGCAATGAAGTGGATAAACATTGACTTGTTCTAGCGGGATCCCGTAATATGTCTTGTTAAAATCCTTGGGTTAGTGCTCTAGAATGAAGCAATCGTGCAGATCAAGATCTACAAAGCATAACACATGCATCGAATGGCACTTTAATACAAGGTAAACCACATGACAAAACCTTTGCCTATACCTGTGCAAGGATGTGCTTGTGCAAGAGGAAACCTTGAATTCATTTAACCCTCCGACTCAGAAGTTCGGAAAACTTACCTTTAGGACACTGGAGTCTCACAGTTTCAACTACCACATACTAAAATCATTTTGAACTTATTTTGTAAGCAGTGGAATGTTAAAGTCAGTGTATACGTCTGCCAACTCGAAGGACAAACCCGTTGATGGCTTGGTCCATTTAGGGGGAGGGGCTTAAAAGGTAGGGGATGCAGTGGCGGATATTGGGGTAGGTGGTCTACCCCCCTCCCTTGGGCCACCAGAGGAAAGTTGTGATGAGCAAATCAGCATCCTTGAACTGATTTTGGTATGTACAAGTCAAGTGGCATTAAAATGGAATTTAGGCTATAAAAGCTATGGAGGGACCGAATTTGTGCAAAGCTGTAGTTATAGGAAATTGTACACAACATAATGGGAGTACCTTTTTTCCCACTAAGTTCTGGGATAACCAGACTGCTCCGGTGACTCATCCCCCCTCCAAAATTAGTGTCCAGGTCCAACTTAAAAGGTCATTGAGATGGGCTCAATGTTGTTTACTATGAGGTCAGGAGGTCAAAAGTCGTGATTTGTGACAGTCCAAACTGTCAGATTCCATCGCTGGGGGTTAACACAATTCACTTCTAATGGATTTGATTTTTCCATATCTGTTTTTTGTTTTGGTTTTGTTTCTGTTTTTGCAAGGTCCAAACTGACCAATCTACAAAGGTGCTATTGTGTCCATCATTTGTAACAGGAGACATGTTTATTCTTTGCCAGAGGGCGTTCCATGCCTCGTTATTTGTCATCGTTATCAAACTAAAACGAACCTAGCTTGTAAAATAAGTGTGAGTCTTTAGAAAATGTACAGGACGCGGCCATGTAATGTTCATTAGGTTTATGAGATGTACAATGAAAATTAAATCTTCAGAAAATTATTTCCTGTACGGGCGAATCTTAATATAGTGCGCCACCTTGGAAGAGGTTGCTAGAGAGAGAGGCAAATTGCATTTTTCAAGTTTTCAGTCGACATATAGCAATGGAGCAGATGCTAGTACGAAATGTTTTATTTTATTCATTCGTCGGGGCATTTCCTGCCCCACGAAGCCACAATCCCATTGATTTTAACAGCGACACTGAGAAACACTTTCGGATCTTTAACCCAGACACGCATTGAGAACAGTTCAAGTTCCCTGCGCACAGCCGGCGCAGCTGACGAATAGCAGCTTGACTGTTTCCCATGATGCACTGGGAAAAATACCCCTCCCTGCCATCTTCGTGGGGGCCGAACACTGAATAGCAAATTGCCCGGATTCAAACCTGTTGAGGTGTCATTGCCCTTATATTTGTCATCATTGATTAATATCGTATTATAGTATTCTGTTCAAAAGAGGTTGATTTTTCTAGATCCTAGAAGTTAAGGGTAGTTACTTAATCCTGAATTTTATTTTCTTCTTAAGAAGCAGTCCATAATGACTGTTGGGACGTGTATATTGACCAGATGTCGTGTATAATTCCCTGCTCGTAAAATTATTTTGTTGCAGTTTTTTCAATTAGTCCAGCTTTTAAAGCTGTTAGAAACATTAATTTTAACCCTCAAAGAGCCGAGTTGTTTTGGCCCATTTGCATCTCACAGCTGGGAGATTCCTCCCCTCGCCCAGAACTCGGCTGTGCCAAGTTTAATTTAAAAAAAATTGGCGTGAATGGAAAGGCTCTCCCCTTATCGTTACAAGTAAGAAGTTTGAACTCAATCGACATATGGTTTTGTTGTTACCATCATAATTTTATAATGTTCAGGGCTCTACGCATGCCAGTCCGCGTGCATTGACCAATGCAGTGGAAACACTTTGCCTCACCTGTCCGGGAATATGGGCACTGAGCAAGAACAGTTCAATTATCACAAAGTTGGGGAAAAAATGACCTAAAAGAGTTACTCTAAAACTACCAAAGGCTCAGCCCCTGGAAAAATAAACTGCGATGTTATCGGAAAATATTTGGGGGGGGGGCAGATTTCGACACCCGGCCCCTTGATGGTTAACAGCCGAAAATACCCTTAACAGGTGAAGTAAGGATGGACATTAAGGCGTCATATTTTTCCTCCACAGCCAAATAACTCTCAGTCGGAGACGGTGTGCAACACGAGTGGAAAGAGACAGCCGTGTGCAGCTTTCGATGATGATAATCACCAGTAGATCTTTCGCTGCTTGCATGTTGGTGGACTGCAGTGTGTCGAGCGAGGCTGGTGGTGGGCCAGCGCACTGTGAGGCAGTGCCGCGGGTGGACAGCAGAGCGCCAGAGGCTGAGAGCACTCTAATTTTCTGGGGTTCCCCCTCTTTAGGCTAAGCTGATCAGCCGCCGATGTGCTCAAGTTGGATATCCCACAAAATCAGGGTTTGCATGATCATTACACTACAAGCGAAGCTAGCGGGAAGTTGCTCTGCGTGCTCATCAGTGTTCCCTGACCCTCCGCAGCATGAATATTCATTACTGGAATACCGCCTACCCAGCGATGTGCGTGCACACTATATGTTCCACATGATACGAACGAGGGGTGATGACAGCTACAGATGTAGCTTGGGTTCCCACTGTCTACACGCCAACGTAAATTCAGCAATGTACGTGTATTTCGAGACTATATGCTACACTAGCCAGCCACAGGAGCACAAAATCTGGAGAGGAAAAGGGGACCGACTATACATCGTGCCTGGTCACCTTAGCCACGAGAAGAGGAATGACATCTCAACTCAAGCATAAGGTCAGTATAACAACAGAGATCTTATGACAGAGCAATTCATCTATTATGGGGCATCATGGTGCACGTACATAAACACAAGCGAACAGCAGATCATTATTACTCGTGTGTTGCATTGCTCTGCGCCGTGCCTTGCATTAAATGAACATGTAGATCATTTTACCATCAGTGTTACCTCTACATCCACTGTCTGTGTTTAGCAGGCGCTCTTACACATCCAAAATGAGGAACTGCTCATCCAGTATGAATCCTCTCATCCATGCACTTGGTGATTAAAATTCAGTCGCTTTTTTTTAATTGAAGGTGTAATCATGACCTCAAAGATAACTATTTATAGCCTCTACGATCTTATCCAGTACCTTACATCTTGAGTTGACATCAGGTAAAATATGTGGATTGTTTTGTTCATTGTATATTTATAACCCGTGTGCAAACCTTTGAGAGATTGCCGTTAAAATCCCATCTATAAACGTAGCAGATCGACCGTATGTCTACGCTTGATCGGTTCAAGTAACCAAACCTTATTATGTCTATGTATACTGAAACATGTACATGTACATGTACGTGTATACATAATGTACATGTACATGTACGTCCACATGTGCATATACACTAATGACCGTATACCGTATATCGGAGTAGTAAGGTAGGCGTACTTGTATATCGGCATCGTATGTTAGCATTCGTATATATATGCAGATATTGCCACATAATTGAATTAGTGTTATACAAATATATACTGACCGCTTCATTTGCTAAAATAATCCCCCCGAGGTAATCCACTGAGCATTTTCTTTCCCCAGGCGAAGCTGAGGGAAAGTCGCACTGCTCCATAAATCACCGAGGGAGGCTAGGTTTACTACACCACGAAATAATTTGTAATTGCAGGTTTTGCCCTTACCGAACGCACCCTTACCCCTCGAGATAAAGGAGTCGATATTTTTTATAACGCCTCTCCTATCGATTTCCTTGATCTAAAATAAATACAAAAGGGACGCCAATGTGACTTTTAAAACATTTTGAAATTTATCAGCACTTTCCAAACTACCTGTTCGTGAAATGTTTGAACCCAGCTCTAGTAGCACTAGCACCTTGGAATAAGCGCAAAGTGTATAGCGGTAGGCATTTTTTTTCACACAATGCCGTTGGCCGTGCGTGAAGTTCCTGGTTCTACGGGTGATGTACTTTGGTTGCTGGGGGATTTCCTTTCGTTGCGCATGGCACGATTGCAAAATTAGCGAATGCAATGTGACTAGCTCTCGGCCAATCAAGATACAGAATCTGTGTAATAAAGGGAAAAATATATCTGTTCATGCCGCAATGAGTAGGACCAAATATAATGGAGCTGTTAAGTACAAAACATTGAGTTTAAAAAAAGGAAAACTTGTAGAGAACCAGCCTCCCGAATGATGTACTTAGCGAAGCGCTTTAATTTTGACACATTTTCTGTGCTAAGCAAATTCCTATGTGCTTTAGCGTCAGGCCAGCCACCGACGGAAAGGTTGTAGCCCATCAAGGCTTGCCCGTAATAATCATTGTATGACGTGAACACACAAACACATCTTTTGTATCCCTGTGGGGTATTTTCTTTGTTCTAGGGTATTTATAACTTAATTGCAGTTTTGTGTGAACTCCCTGTTGAGCCAGAGTCAGTTTCCTTCGTTGAAATTTTGACCTAATGTCACTTATATAAATGCTTAAATTTCACCTTGGAAATTCCACGTTCGTGAGTAAATTCCAAATAATTATCTATTTCAAACGGATCTTGTGGTAAGCTTCCTATTGTTCTGGTACCCTCCATTACACCTGCGCTGACTTGTGGCTTTACGTGTTTCAGCTTGTGCAGATGCACTGTGCATTTTTCGACCCATTTTGTGCCTTGTTAAGCAAGTGCAGTAAATGAAGTCACGCCCTTACACTGCCCAACACGGCAACATACTCAATTTAAGCTGGTTTTCAGGCATCACTTAATTGTTTTGGGCGAAATTGCCTTTTCAGAAAAAAAAAACACGTTCGGAAAAAAGCCGACAGCTTGTTAAAACTGGCCTTGTTCATCACAGGCACCCCGGAAGGGAAAGCTGGCGGGGGTGCGGCATTATTGGGGTAGGAGTCCTATGCTTACCCAGGGGCATTGCGCCATAACATTACTTTGTAAAAAGTTACCTTTCGAAGCTAAGCGTTTTTCAATAAATAACTGAAACTGTCAAAGTAATGTACTCGAGTCTTTCAATTCTTTCAGGCGAGGCTTTCTTAATTAAAATAAAAATCCCAAAGAAATATTAGCTCACATTGCCCTAAGATATGCCAATAAAGGCTGCAGTGTCACGTGTACGTTACTGACCCGTACAGCACAAACGAATCCCTTAGGAAAATGCTAAAGGTTTCCCCGCGTCGACCACCATAATCAAATTCTAGAAGGCAATAGCGGAATTCGCGGAGTTGCAAGCTGAGCGTATACATGTATATATTGGCCAGTATACTGTATCTCGCACCCTGGAGGTATAAGGCGCCTGTTCGGTCATATAAGATGAATCCCGTAGAGCTGCACGGAAAGGCATTGATGAACGCTTTTAAATCCAGTGACCGGTTCAAATCACTAATTAGTGATCCGTCGATACTACACGTATGGACTTCGAGCTGGACCAAGAGAGGGCGTTATTTTCTTAATAACGGACGCTTCTTTGATCGGAACTGAACTTCGCTGGTTCACGAACGACTAGGAAGTGCACCTGTCACCGTTGTATCGCTACCAACAAATTGAACACTTCTGACCAACGCAGCTCTTTTCAATCGATGAGAGGTGCTTCTGCTCGAGGCGGATAGTGTCACATGAAAAGACCGGCCATTGAACTAAACATCGCAACGGTTTATAATCTGTTATGTTTCACTGTTTGTCCACAAACAATAAATAAAAACACTGAGTTTTCATTGTTCTTACATCACGAGCAATAAATAACGAACTCCAGGCGAGACAAAGAGAAAGACTGAAAAAAGATGAAACAGACGATGGAGAGCATCGATTTTTTTTACTTGAAGCTATTAATTTCTCACTGTTTTCCAAATTCCGTTGACGAGAATATATCCTTGAGTCTCGGAGGACGATGCTTATTTACTAATGCGCACCTTAATCGCTTTACTGGCTTCTTTTCTATTTCTATTTTTCTTTGATTTCTTTCCTTTAAGTTCATTTTTCCACACGAATCACGACTCAGAGCATGCCCATGAGTTCGTGGTGTGAACATGACGATCGATCCAAGCTCAGTGCGATGTAATCCAGGAATGTCTGAGATATTCTGCACTGCCTTACATTTTTGTCCGTTTAAACCGGCAGCTCCGTGATTATGCATCGTCCCGACACGTTCGCTATCAGCCTGCGGCAACAATGTGTGAAAGTCTGTGCCACTCGTTCCTGTCACTCACGTAATCGGCAATGCACCGTGCGTCATTTAAAACAGGCTCATTATGCTGATTGATGTCACAATGAACATGGTGAACTTCAGTACATAGGTAGAAGTAATTGTTAAGGTGAAGCCATTGTTAGGACTTTTGGTTGCAGTGCAGGCATTTGACACTTGTAATTAGACTTCCGTTTGAAATTTTACACACAAGAAACGGCAAGAGAAGCCTGATGATAAAACAAACAATTTAAATCGAAAAGTAATGTACAAGGAATTAATGTTCTATACTGTACTGCCAAATGGTCTTGCTCTGGTTGAGCTCTAGTGATATTTTCCCCAGTGCTCTGTCTTTGTTATTTGATTTCCTTTTAATGCGGAAAAGTTTAACGTAATACTTGTAGGCCTTCTTCTTATTGGCTTCATTTTTTGTTCATTTTTTTTTCTGAGCGGCAAAACGCTAGATAACGTTCACCCTTGGTTTGTAGCAGCTTTTGCCTCAAAATGCACGCTTGCCCCGGAAGTTCTGAAGACATATGGTGCTGTAGCCAGAGAAAGGTCTATATGTTCAATATGTCCAGAATTAAGTCCTGTGTACACGCTGATGAGGGCAGAACCCGTTGGAGACAAATAGTTGACGCCTTTTGTCCCACTGGGGACGAAGAGGATTAAGTAAGTAGTAACATGCGACCAGCGGCTTATACAGCTTTGTGTGTGTGTGTTGTTTTCTTAGGAGATTTGGTGCTAATATTTGCTAAAAAATATAATTGATATATGATGAACTGAAAAATTCCGTTTGGGGAAAGTTGTCCCCCCTGATACTCCACTGTATACGACGTCTGCAGTGGAGGATAATTCTATCTTTTCCACGTATGATGACGTTTTACGAAGGAAGGCCACTTCAAGGCTGGAAATAACAAATGCCCGTGGAAGCTGGGAAGCTTCATCCACTCTCACAGGCCCATGCGAGATTTCCAGCCCGAGATGATCAGCGTTGACGCGATAAAACCTTTTTTTTGTAGTCAACACATTGCCATGCAATAGTGGCCCAAGTCCGAAACTTGTTATGAACAATAACATTATCTTTCTGACTTAGTCCTTACATTTACGTGTCACTGATCTTCATGAGTGAGAACCCTGTCGCAGAGACTTCATGCACGTAGTGTATTTACCGTGCCATACACACTCTGTGCTTGGTTATTACACCAATGAATCTGCAAACAAAATAGATTTATGGATTTGTCAAAATACTGGAAGGTGGGGACAACAGATCACTATGCATACGTCAGTGATTATAATGGATTATCATTCTCAGTCACTTACATTTGCAGTGGAAGTGCAGAAGGCACATAACTGCGACAACACACTGCAGTAACACAAGCGTCTCCATCTGTGAGCAGAACCGTGTGCATTGTTATTCAAGCAGGAGCTTCGATATGGGATTCGGGTAGTGTACTGGTATGATATTAATTTTTATTTTCAAAACCGATTCTGGCCATTGTGTGTGGGTTCCACTATGGAATCTGAAAAGTCATCAGAGAGAGAGGGAGAGAGAGAGAGATCTGAGATGGACTTTTTATTTTGCATAAATACATATCTGCAGTACCC